TGCTCTTCTGTGTTCAACCCTTTCCTGTGACTCGCTATATATAAGGACAATAAACCTCAGCCAGTCAAGGGGGAGCCCAAGACTGACTCTAGTATTCCGTGTGATCATTATAGCCGAGGTATCAACGAGATACGTATATCTTGATGAATATTGTCCGTTTCACCTTCCGCTCTAGATACTGAAGACCTCAGTCTGTAACGGTCACTGACCGGTCACCACTTAACCCGTTCACAGTGTTTTCAGCATGACCCATATTCGGATGCTCTTCTGCGGTACACCCCATTTGGCCGCGACCGTTTGGCCGCGGGACGTTTGGCCGCGACCCTTTGGCCGCGGGACCGTTTGGCCGCGAGACGTTTGGACGCGAGACTGTTTGGCCGCGGGACCGTTTGGTCGCGGTACCGTTTGACCGCAGGACCGTTTGGCCGCCGTGGGACGACTTGAGAAAGAAACGAGCGACCGGAAGGGACGGCTCTCAGGAATCTTGTGCGAAAGATCTATGAGGGAAGGCTTCAGGGTTTGTCACAATGAGGAAGTCGGCTTCGTGGTCGGGATGCAGAATACGGATGTATCTCCCTGAATGTATGGGTATTCAGCTCGTCTCTATACATGGCATACCAGAGAAGACCCGAGTCGAGTATCCAAGCGTTTCGATTTTCAGCAACCTCAATCCTGGTCTCGGCAGCTGAGGTTCTCAACAAGTGGAACGTCCCCAGCTTCCTTTGGCAAGCGTGCATGCGACAATTGACGGCATCAACGAAAACACGCAAAGTTCAGCAACATCCAATCATTTGAACCGAAGTCATGAGCTAGGAATCCTCCAGAAGCAGCATGTCGGAGTGCCCGACAATCGTTAAGTCTTCCCGCGGGAAAGACAAGCTTTGCCACCAGGGTTTCATGCATGTCAAACGTCACATGAGCGCTACCTTCCGCATCATATCACCGCTCATGTTTTTTGGGGGGAACGTCTTCGAAATCTCTGCGGGTATTTCCACCCAATCCAGACCGCGGCTAAACGGTTCCGCGGCCAAACAGTCCCGCGGCCGAATGGTCCCGCGGCCAAACGGTCGCGGCCAAACGTCTCGCGGCCAAAGGGTCGCAACCAAATGGGGCGCTCCGGAACAAAGGCGATTGCGGCAAACATACGGACGTCCAGAGAGAAATCATTTTCCCGCAGGTATTTATCACGGAGCGTGGCGTCTGCTTGTATGTGGCGCCAAAGGCTCTGGTTGAGATGAAAATTACAACCGAGGACACCGACTGATGGGAAGGTGGTTTCGAGCTCACGGACCATTGCGATCTCGAAGTCCACGTGAGTAACCTCTGGCCGGAAGTCATCGAGGACGCTGGTCAGGATTGTCAGAGATCGTCTGTAAGTTCTCGATGTTTTCCCCGGCATCAAGGAATACACGACGGGAACAGTTTTGTGAGAGCCGGGAATCTTCACGAGAACGCTGTACATCTGATGAGAAATCACGGGGCAAACTTTGAAGGTTCCGTCCAAGAACCACTCGCCGCATGTCTTCAGTAGCTCGAGATTATCGAGGGTGGCGAAGTTTATCATCCTTTCGCAGTCCCCTTCCCCAGAGTCGTACAGTAAAAAGGGGTCGCCTTTGGTGGTCATCTGGAACATGAAGAGCATAGACGGAAGAAAGGTGTCAAGGACTTCGACGAAGGCAATCTTCGGATATACAAACGCATACCTTCGAAAAATCTGGAATCACCAATTCTTCTCTTCGTAAGGGGTTCGTCGGATGCATCGGGGCTTCTCGTTTTCTCGCGCGCAAGACCTGTCTCCGGAGTGGGTCTGGTCTGGGCATTCTGCCCAGCGTCGAGCGTGAGCTGACCTCGCTGACAGCTGCGGCAACCAACGCGGTCGACTTCGCGTAGGTCTTCTGAACCGCAGATCTACCAAGGCAATCTAATCTCTCGCGGACATCGATTCCGACTGAATCCGGGGCGTGCATGTGTTCAGGTGGATCCTGGAGGAAAAGTCTAGACTTGGAGGACCGAAAAGTCGCTACAACTCTATGAGTCACACAGAAGCTCATGCTCAAAATTGTTCCGGATGCTTTATAAAAATTTCGCGGATCCTCAAGTTCCTTATGACTCACGCTATGAGTGCCGTCCGCGGTGCTGATGCGAGCTCGACAAGTTTTCTCCACGCAACGCCACGTTGTCTTATCAAGCTAGCTTCGGTTTTTGCGGAAGACAAAACCTCCCACACAAAGCATTGGCCTACCTCTGGTTGAGGTCAAGAACTTCAGAGGCGTTTCGCAGCTCATGTTAAGCTTCTACCGGTTCGGGAGAAAAGATGCATCGATTGCCGCCAATGAACTCAGCCTGGCCCACTTGGTTGACATCGCGCAGAATGATAATTTCAGCGAGACGTCGTTTGGTGCACGTTTCTATGATGCGCGCATCTCCGCTCAGGACAGCTCTCTATAGAATGTTCGCCATATAGTGCTGCAAATAATGAGCGTGAAGTTTTCGCGTTTGCGACGCCACGGGAATTCCATCGAGGATTCCTCATCAATGAAAACCTAGGACTGTATGCTCATTAATGAATGCGAGATTGGCAAGAAGGCCCCCAGAATTAGGCCATATTAAGTAAATCCAGTCAGTTTCAAAATTCAATTTTACAAGGCTTTGTGCGCTTAACCGTACGCTGCGCTCGAACTGACGCTTCGCTCAGATCGACACTGCGCCCGAATTTTCGTTGCGCTCCGGGAAGCATGCGCCGAAAATGGCATGCGCTCAAAACTGCTTGCGCTTGTGAAGGTTGAGCAGGGAGGAAACACTAGAGGAGCTGATCGAAGAACGGCACCACCGATGATAAGGCGAAATGAGAAGTTGTTTATTCTGTGAAGAATAACGATTAATATAGGGTAATCCAGACATGCGCAGTCGGGTCGCCGGATCTCCATCTTAACACTCCCTTTCGGAGACCTGACAAACACCAACTCTTGTCCTTAACCGAGACCGTTCAGCCCACGCTGTTCAGCGAAGTTGGCTGCTGTCAGAACCTTGGTCAAGAAATCGGCCAATTGAAGCCTTGAGGGCACATGACTAATTCCAATTTCTCCACGCTCATATATCTGACGAATATAATGATACTTAATGTTGAAATGTTTGCTACGCTCGTGATGCAGTGGATTAGTCACCAAAATCTCCGAGGCTGCATTGTCCATGTTCAGAACAGTCGCCTTCTCTTGCTTGACGCCCAACTCGGCTAGGAACCCGCGGAGCCAGACCACCTCCCTGGCGCATGCATGAGCCGCCACAAACTCAGCATACGTGGTGGAGTCAGCCACGACTGATTGCTTGCGAGACTTCCACGAAATCAGGCCGCCATTCAGAGAAACACATAGTCCGCTCACCGATCGCCGAGTCTCGACATCGGATGCCCAACTGGCATCACTGTATGCAGTCAAGGTATTCAGGAGCCCGCTCGAGCAATAGGTTATTCCGACCTTCGAAATCCCTTTCAAGTATCGTAGAACTCTCTTGGCACAAAGCCAATGATCCATTGACGGATTTTCCAGGAACTGCGATAACTGGTTAACCGTGAAGGCAATGTCAGCACGAGTGCCAACCGCCGCATACATCAGACACCCAATGAGTTGACGATATGGGACGTCGGGAGACTGCAACAGCTTGCCGTCTCGGTCGACGTGCCGTCTGAAATTCTGATCTGCTCTGTACGGAGTTGACGCCGAGTTGCAGTCTGACATTTTGAACCTTTCCAGCACCTTCTTGATATAACCTTCCTCGGTGTATCTTCAGTGTGCCTTGATCTCGATCCCGTTCTATCTCGATTCCGACGTAGCATCTTATCTCATGCTAGGTCAACTTGAAATGCCTCCTCAGAGATTCGAGGAACTCCTCGATGCTCGTCTTCGACTGACCGACACACAAACCATCGTCCACATAGAGGGCGAAGAACAACTTGTCTCTATCCCTCATGAAGACACAGGAGTCGTGAGTACACAGACGAAACTCCAACTTTAGCAACACGGAAGATATTTTCTTGTGCCACTGAAGAGGCGCTTGTTTCAAACCGTATAACGATTTCTGGAGCTTACATACTCTATTTGTCCCGTCCGAGTAGCCTTCCGGCTGTTCCATCAGGATGCATTCCTGAAGATCTCCATACAGAAACGCGGTTGTGACGTCACACTGTAGGATTTCCAAATCCAAGGCCGCTGCCAAAGCGAGCAAGCAGCGTACCGAAGTCAACTTCGACACGGGAGAGTACGTATCAAAGAAGTCGATTCCTTTCTTCTGAGAACAACCTTTCACGACAAGACGACTTTTGAACTTATCGATAGAACCATCCGGATGAGTTTTGACCTTGAATACCCACTTCGACTTGATGACATTGGCGCCTTGTGGCCTGTCTACAAGAATCCAAGTCTGATTGGACATGAGAGAGTTATACTCGCTGTCAGATGCCTTTTTCCATTCTTCTGCATTAACTGATTCCATGGCTTCACGGAATGTTGAAGGTGTTTCGACCTCACAGAGAAAGGAAGCACACATCACATCGAAGAATTCCTCGTCGTCCAGCGACTCCTCATATGCGATTCGGCGGATTTTCTCCTTCGCTCTGACAGCCGCTCGTCTAGGAGTCCAAACTTCTCCGGAGTCCACGATGCTCCGACTGGAAGACGACATTCCTTCCGAGGTGCTTCCTTCGACTTGGTCCGAAGTGGAGCCCCCTCGAAGGGGAGGTGGAGAATCACCTCCACTCCCATTGTTTTCCGACTCCAAACTCTGCAGACACTTAGGGATCGACTCGACAAATCGTACATCACGTGAGATCCTTACATCCGAAGTCCCCGGCATCCACATCCTGTAGGACTTTGACTTTTCGTCGTAGCCGACCAGAACCCGCTTCTCACTCTTCGGATCAAGTTTCGTTCGTCTCGGATCCTCGACGACAACGTCGCCAACACTTCCCCAGATCCGAAGATTGCTCACAGAGGGCTTGCACCCTTTCCAGAGCTCATAGGGCGTCGTCCACCGCAAGCGTTCCGGAGGAATTCGATTGCGAACGTATACTGCAGCCGCCGCAGCTTCCGCCCATAGAATCTTTGGTAGATTGGTAGCGCTCAGCATTGTAAGTGCGCACTCGATGATTGTCCGATTCTGACGCTCAACGCTCCAGACCTTGGTCAGCTAATTTCCCGATTGATATCAGGTTCTGCTTCACATCAGGAACGTAGAGGACATCAGTCAGTTTGGCAGAAATGATCTTCCCAGATACTGTGCATTCAAGCGGAATGGATCCGATTCCAATGCCATAGATAATTTGCCCACCGGCAGTGAAAATGGGCTTCTTGTTTGCAAGGGACTTGTACTCGGAGAACCATTCCCTCCTGCTGCAAAGGTGCCTTGCAGCACCACTGTCTGCCAGCCAGAAGTCGCTGTCTTCTTCCTCTGAAGTACATCCCGCGCTGAAGAGAAATTTCTTGTCTTGCTGACCATCCGTGGATGTCAAGTGAGCCTGAGTAGTATCCGAAGGATTTTGTTTCTTGCTCTGGCGATACTTGAAACACTTGAATTTCTTGTGCCACAGAAGTGGCATACGCCGCTAAATCTCCGCTGAGATCCGGACCTCGAATCATTGCTTTTCGTGAGCAGAGCAACAGTATTCTGATCCTCCTGAACTATGACAGTCGAGCTTGTGTCCTTCGACAGCTTCTCAACTTTCAACAAACGAGGGATGAGGTTGAGCCTAGTCTGCTCAGCTGCTCCGAGATTATCCCATGCTACTGTCAATTTGAGGTATTTCGTTGGTAGTTGCAGTAGTTTTGAGATTACCTCGTCCTCCCCAACGACTTTCCCTAAGTCGGCTAGTCTCTGTACCATCGATTCGACATTCGAGATATGTGTAGCCATATCCATCGAATCAGTCATCTTGTACGCATAGAATTCCTGCCTCAGAAGGCTCACCGACAAGGATGATCGAGACTCATAAAGAGTTGATAGGCGCTCCCACATATCCTTCGCTGATCGGAGATTCATTATAGCTCGTACGACTGATGATTCCACAGAATTGAGGATGACTGCCTTCGCTTTAGCTTCGGCTCTGTTCCAATCCCCAGCTCCTTGATCGAGAGAACCGTCCACAGTACCGAACCATGCGTTGGCTTCGAGATACGCCTGAACCTGAACTCTCCAAACTGGAAAGTCATTCTTTCCATCGAATTTCGCCACTTGCAGCTTATCCATCCTGATCGTCTTGATCTCTCTGCCTCAGTTGCGTTTCCCTTTTCCTTTACTTGTCAGCGTAGGACTGGGCCCATAACCTGTGAAGGTTGAGCAGGGAGGAAGAACTAGAGGAGCTGATCGAAGAACGGCACCACAGATGATAAGGCGAAATGAGAAGTTGTTTATTCTATGAAGAATAACGATTAATATAGGGTAATCCAGACATGCGCAATCGGGTCGCCGGATCTCCATCTTAACAGCGCTCAACCGTAGGTCGTGCTCAAATCGACGCTGCGCTGCAGGCTCCTTCGCGCTCAGATCAAGTTCGCGCCGGAATGCACAATCGCTTGAATCTTCGCTGCGCTCAACTTGGCGGTCACGAGACAACCCGACCCTGTTTTGTAGCAGGGGTCAAGGTCCCAGAATCGCCTCCAAATGGCGCAGATAAAATCTGCAAAAACGTTATCACGGAGGCAGTCTTCGCAGCGAGCTGCTGCTTCCTCGATGGGCATTATTGATTCTACTAAGATGTATACGCGCTTGGTGGAAGAAGCATATATGTCGTGATTATGAGGGGAATGTCTTCAAGAAACACAATGAATATAATAGACCAGTCCCTAACTCTTTCGGGCTGAACCACACAGCCAAGGTTTAACGTCCCGGGTACTCTTATTCACATTGCTTCCGAGGACGGATCCATAGAGCAAATGTACCCAGGAGGATCAAGGCCGAGTACCTGCGTTTCCGTGAG